TTAGATTTTGATTCTTGTTTTTGTAAGAATATTAAATGTATATTATATATTTGTGTTTTATATATCATATGTATATTGTATTTTTTATTGATGGATGGAAATGAATGATTTTACATAAATAGAAATATATTCTGTATTTTTCAAAAAATAGAATAATGATATATCGGTCGTATTTTTATGAATTGGATTTCTTTGTTTAATTTGGCAAATTTTAAATAGGTATAGTTGACAATAATATATTGGAATTGGAATTATCGAAATGGTGCATTTATAATAGGTAACGAAAGATAAATTTTTAAGGAAATATTTTGATATTGTTTTGCGAAAAAACATGTGAATATTTTTAGATTTATTTTCCAAAAACATATTAGATATATATGTTATATATTTGTATTGGAATAATCGATTTATTATAGTTTTTTTGGCGGAATTTCTATTTTATGTTTTTTTGTTCGATTGGTTTATTTTGGAAGTGGATTAATTTAATGCTTATTTGAGATTGATATTGAATATTCTAAATTTGAATAATTTATATATTTTATACAATATATATAAATCTATATATGTATTTTAATTTTCAATTTGATAATTAATTGTTTTTTTTAGTCTATGTTGTATATTTTAAGTATGTATATTTTTTGATCGTTGTTTGATCTTTCGTATTTTTCTATTTCAAATAATATATTTTGGGAATTGTATTTCGTATTAAATTTAAGAATTCTATTAGTTTTGAAATGTCAAATTTATCATAGGTATGTCATTTTGCGAATTTTGAAAAACCATTTAATTAGTAAATATATTAATTCTATTGATATGTTTTGATATTGAAATGATTTTTTATATTATAGATAATATTTGGTGACCTTGAAATGGAGGCAAGGAAAAATATAAATAATATTAGATAATATTAGGAATTCGATGACGACGATTAATTAATTTTTATATATATGATTATTATGTTCATTATCATTATTATTTATATTTTAATATTATTACTAGCTTAAGGATTTTTTTTTGAGAATATAAATTCGAACATGGGGATCATTTAATAACGATTTTAAGATTGATAATTTATATTCGAAAATAATTCGTATTTAGGTGATATCGATATAATATATTTTTAATTGGTAATCATTTCTTTAATAAATAATCGGATAATTTATATATATCATTATATTTATTATATTTAAAATAATAAAATACTAAAATAATGGTTCATAATAAATATGGATCAAAAGGTTCATATAAAAACTAAAATATTGAAAATTTATTGAAATTATTCTAAATTTATTTATGTATATATTATTTAAATATTAGAAGAATTTTGATCTGTAATTTTAGAGATTTTTATTGATGTTAAATTCATCTATATTGGTGATTTAAATATATTAGATATATTTATTCAACATTGCATATCTATAAATATTTTTTGCATATTTTATAATTTCTATTTGCGATAGATAATTGTTATAGATTATATTTTTTGTTATTTCGTATTGGCCCTGGAAAGCAATCAATAACGCAATATTTTTGGCGAAAGATTAGTGAACACTGCCCGAAAATATAGATAAATATTAAAAATTACTTTATGATTCTATGCCCAAATCAAGCAACAAAAGACCTAATAAATTGTGATATTTTAATATTTGATGATATATTCGTCCAAAACAAATAGATGAATAATATCATCAAATAAAAAATATTTTTTGAATATATATATACGTTAAAAAAATATACTATATAAATTTATGAAATATTTACGAAAATGAATTTCTTATTGATGAAGAATAACCGTTCTCGATATGATATCATTTGTCAAATATATTGTTTATATTGGTTTGATGGAATATATTGAATTTCGATATATATGCGATATATTTTTGAATTAATCTATAACATATTTTGTAAATCGAATATATATATATAAATTCTATCTATTAAATATAGAAATTATATATATAACAGATCAATTACATATATTAAATTAATAGAAGGGGGGGTGAGGGGGGGAGAGTATGCATATTGTAGAAACGCGCGTTTTTTGCACTCTCAGACAAGAGCCACAGAGTCCACAGAGTCAGACAAGAGCCCCAATGGGGTCTGCAATTTTGTTTTTTTTGTTTTTTTTGAGGTTTTTGCATCCCCAATGGGGTCTGCAATTTTGTTGTTTTTTAATTTTTTGTGTTTTTAGAGGTTTTTGCATGATTTGCTTGGCTGTATACTGTTGTTATCACATCAAATTGCCCTTTACTCTGCGAAATCCATGTAGAACCCTTCAAAATCTTGCAAAATCAAAATTTTCACATCTCCCCCCCCCCTCACCCCCCGCTCTCTAAATTAAAATATTTTTTTTATTATTACTATATATTGATTTTTTATAAAGAATTGATAAATTAATATTTGAAATGAATATAACATATATTAAATATATATAATTATGCTATATTCTTATTTATAGGATATATTTATTTATAGGATATATATATATTGTTCGATATTCCTTCGTTTTTATATTGATATAGAGGCAATACCATAAACATATTGAAATCAAAATATATTCTATGAATGAATGAATTTTTATATTATATATATTGTTTATATTCTATCAATGAATGAATTAATTGATTCAATTAATATATAAATAGATTCAAATTCGATAATATATACATATATATAATAAGATCCTTTGAATTAATCAAAATTTACACCATAATTGGGACGAAGTGTGTTAGCCATTATTGTGCAATTTAGTGGTATCTCATCAATCTTCCTATATGAATAATAGGTATATTTTTTAGATTTGCAAGAATATATCTTCGTATAATTAAATATTTATTATAAAATATAATATATATATATTTGTTTATCTGACGAAGAATATTAAGAAGTTGCAGTAATAAATGAAATAATTTATGGAAGGGAATGTTTTGAATTGTGGTGATTAGATTGATGGGTTGGTAATGGGGGTAATTGGGGATAATTGGGGATATTGATAAAAAATATATGGTGTTTAAAAAAAATATATTATTTTATTTTATTTTTTATATGGAGATCGTCTTTATTATAATTTCAACCAATTATCGATATCGATTTATATTTTGCGGATCAAAAGATATCTATTTTATATTTTTTTGCGATTCTTAGATCAATTTTTTATATTCATATATATATTTTTCAAATATAGATCAATAATATATTCAATATAATTTTTATAATTCCTAAGATTATCGAATATTTTTTTTTAAAAAAAAATATAATTATATATTTAAAACATCGAAATTTCATATCATTCCATAAATCAAAATAATTATCCTAATAAATTACGACATAATATTCATAAATAATATAATAATACAAATTAGATCATAATTAAATAAATATATATCCTTTCAATTTTTCAATTTATTCTATTTAATAATATTGCTTTAGAAATAACTATATATATAATTCCATAATATATTGATCATAAATATTTTTTTCACATAATTCATAATATTTAATTTAAAAAAAATATTAAACAATATATATATATTTTTTTTTATTATATATATTCTTATACTCAAGTCTCGGTCCGAATCCTACCAGATGATGGATTTGTGTCGATTAATATTCGGGAGGTCCATTTCCCTTATGCCATGGCAATCCTCACCAATAATATGCCTCCTACCACTAGGAATTGCCACGGCCCCTAACTTAGCTTGTAAATGAAGGACCAGGGCGCTCAGCGAGCAAGGGCTGTGCATCTATTTTTTACGCAATTTTCGTTGCCACGGTAAACCACAACCTTATGATTATTGAATTTATGAATGACCATCAGGAGAGGGCTTAATATTGCGATTGAATAAAATAATATTGCTTAATTAGAAACATATCCATCTGAGTCATTATAACATATAATTTTCGATTTTGTTATTTCCCATTTTGCCTCGAGATCAAATATATAAATAATTAAGAATTTGGGGGTAATCAAATTCTTGGTTATCTTTCTAAATTATTATTTTTTTTCCTATCGATATCTAAACGGCATTTCTAGATTCATATATAATCATTTGAATTCTTTATATAAAATCATCCAATCCTACCATTATCTATTTAATAAAAATTTGTTTCATTCAAAGATTCTAAATCATCTAAAAATATTTCTTATCCAATATAAATAATTTTCATCGAATACGGCGAATAACCACATTCCACCTCCCAATTCGAAATTATCAATTACAATCGATTTAACCACATATTAATCGACCTAAAGACTAGCTATACTATTCCATTCACGACGAATATATAATATCATTATCCATAATATATTCTCATAATCTTTAAATATATAATAACAAATCAATTTTTAAATATCATAAATATAAATATTTTTAATATTTAAGAAATATAATATATATATATATAATATCTATAAAATATATAACATAATCGATATTAAAATATATCAATCAATCAAATAATAAAACAACACATATAAGAAATAGATTAATATATAACATATCAAAATATATATATAAAATAAAAAATAGATAAAACACATGGGATGCGTTAGCCTTAAGCATTACCAACCATGGCATACTTACACCCCACTTCAAGGGCGGCGGTGGCGCTTTTGAAGCCACAAATAGAACATGCCCCGCCATCAGGCGGCAAAACTAGCGGCGGCGCTGGATTAATAGGTCTTTAGCTGTGCCCCCCAATCACAACGACGATCTTTTTGTCGCTTTGCGACCTTTGCCCGCTAGATCTGCTTCGAAAATGTTGTCATCCTCCAGCTTTGATCCTTTTCCTGCATTAGGGCCATGTGGTCTCACCCTGCTCAGTTGCAAGCATGCGGGAAAATACCTATGTGTAGGTTCTAGTGTGTTCACCCATAATATATCTTCGTGTTCCCAATGACAAACATGTTTTGGTTAACCACTAGCCATTTTCAATGGTTTGCAATGCAAGCGATAAATAATGTTCAGTCAAGAAAGGGTATTGGTATAGGGTTGGTCCCTATCAGTTTTACAAGGTTTTGACAAATTCACAAATATTTAAGGCGGCCCATGAGTAAAATAACATACATGTACGGAGGTTTTGTCAGATGCTCACATATTGATCACATATATATATATATCATTGTACTTTAGGTATTTTTAGGTCGATATTTAATAATCAAACTCGTATACTATTGGATTATCAAAATTGTTGCGAATCTAGCAATCTGTTTGTGCAGTATATCTTCCATATTCGATTCTCCAGATTTGGAATTTCGATCAGTGAAACATTGGTGAACATCTTTTCGGTGGGGCTCCAAACAAAAACACCATTCATATGGTGAGACGATCATTCCAATTATTGGTCCCACCAGAAAACGATTCAGATCTACAAATCCCCCACCAACGCCCCATGTCTCCGATTCCTCAGCCCAGCCTGGATGACAGCACATACTGAGGAGTCCAATGTTGCTTGCAGGACTTGGAAGTCAAATGAAGCTGAAGACAAATCATTGGGTATACACAAGGAGATTCCTCAAACAATTCTGTAAAAATAACATGGGTCTGGGGTCTCCCGAATCGAATACACACCAAACTGGGTCCGTGTCACCTCATCGGAATCCAGCATCGTCACCACTTAAATTATATTGTTTCCCAAGAATTGGAGAGAGAGCCCTGAGACGGCGCTGAGAGAGGGTCCCAGGATCTGGACCTCAAACTACCCGCATTGCAACTTGCAACAGGTGTTTATTACAAAACTCCAAATAAATCAAGTTTGAGCCAATCAGGCCTATGTGAAACAGTGGGGATGTGTTTCAAACATCTTGTGGCACTGAAGGCCACAAAGCCTGACTTCTTCGCGCCTTCAACACGAAAGTGTCCCCCCCATCCTGAGACCCCAGACCGTTGAGTTCATCGCCAAAAACATATCGAGAGCATAAAGGGTCAAAGGGAAATAAAGAGACAACGAGATTGGTAACCAATGATGGGATCATGTGGGACCATCATTGGGTAGAATCCTCCTTAAGATGTGGAACTCTCCCGTTGCACACCGCGGGAGAGAAGACCCGTTGCCCCCCCGCCTGCTGCTGGGCCGCTCACCTTGACCTCGTCACGGCAAAAGAAAACGGACCTTCAGGTCTGAACATCGGCATAGCTTCAGAAGTCTCGATGTCAATGTCCCAGACTTGCTTTGAGGGAAATCTACAGGAATGCCATAGTTTGAGATTGAAAACAAGGGTTTCCTGCAGATGTTCCCGTTACAATGCAGGTTGTGTAGAAGTGGAAATAAGTGGAACAAACAAACTTCTGCCGATGAAGGATGAAAAGAAAGCGCCTCCTGATCTTTTTTCAGACGAACGCGACAGCGTACGTCGAAAGCTTCGTCAGCGATATACGTAGCGACAAACATGTAGTAGGCCTTCTTACGGCATCTTGCAGCCCAACCAACAGGGAAGCTGGGACGCTACTAGGGGCACCTGGCATCGCTACTAGGAGCAAGGACGCTACTAGGGGCTCCAAGGACGCTACTAGGGGCTCCTGGCATCGCTACTAGGAGCAAGGACGCTACATGTCAACAGTGCTCCCGGTTCTCGCCTCTAAGCGTTGTGCCAGGTTTTGAACACGACTCATGGGACTGGAATATTTGGCCAACCGCCTTGGAGTGATTGATTTCGGGGGTCCATGTAGGCGGCATCTACTTCATTATATTCCAGTCCAATGGAGTGCCTGGGATATAGAAACTATTGGTTCGTTCAACAGATGGACAAGGTGTCGGCAATATCGACGAAGTCTGCAGCAACCCACCAGATTGATCCAGTGACGTAGTCCAGCCCGGCCACACACTCCGTCCAATTATGGAACATATATATATATATATCATATATCCATTGATCATGAAACCACCCCAACAAAGGGTAGATATGCTATATCTGGAGTGTTTGGGTCTTTAAAAATATATTGATCTTCAAACAAAAATCCGACGACCAGACTCTCCAGTCAGCCTTTCGAAAGCTGAGCGACGGTAGCACTGCACGCGGTGCAAGCGGTCTGCCATCTGCTGGTTCTTCATCAGAAATGCCAACTCAGCCTGAGCTTCTGGAAAACAGGTCAGGTCAGGAGGAGCGTCTTCCGCGGGTCCATGACGTCATGACACCGACACATCACGTCATGACACGACACATGACGTCATGACACCGGCGGTCCGTGAACGGCCAGGTCAGGGCGGCCACGGGTGGTGGTCATCAAGCGGTTGTTGCTGGGTGGCTTTGGTAGCACACATCTGAAAACCCAGGCCATGATTGGATTCTTCAACATCGAGCAAATATGAAGAAATATGTGCCGAAAGAGGTGTTCCCCATCTTCAGGTGCTGGAGTCCTTTCAGTAGTGGGTCCGTTTATGCTTAAACCCTTCAAACACATGCAAGTGGTTCCTGTTACACGTCGGTGCACCAAGAACACTTCATCTATATAACTTTGCTTGGGTGCAAGAAACACCTGATTCCCAAACCATTATGATTCCGGCTGCAGTTGCTCTAAGCTGCATAATTGTGCCAGAAAACACCATTGCAAAAACTAGCTGGGGCACAAAGTCTCAGCTTCCCAGTCTTCCATGAAAAACACTGGATGAAATCGTCAGAATAGATCGTTGAATGACAATGTAAAATGCACTTGTAAAAGCATGCAAGAGCCCCATTGGACACTACCTGTCGCTCCTTGGCACTTAGCTCCCTCCTGAGCACTAGCAGATAACCCATTCTTCTCGCGAAATCTTCGACGTTGACATGAGTTGACCACACCATCCATCACCATCCTCAGATATCTCGGAACCTCTTTCTGGGCCTCCCGGCCCCCTTGGCAAAGGTGGAGCCGATCACGTTGTTGGCGTAGCGTCCCGGAATAAATCCAGTGTATCCTCCGATTTGGGACATTCCCAAACGAGAATGAGCTTCCCCATCATGGAGTGCGGCAGTTTCCGGCCATGACACGGAAACATGACACTTCTGCTTCTTCGACTCTAGGCACTTGTAAAAGAAACATCGAACACTTCCTGAAATAGTCTGAAAATGTCTGAAATATCGGATTAGTCTGATTGATCATACAAGTGGTATGTAAGTATGGCTGCCTTGTCCAACTATCCTCCGTCCCAAAGCCACACACTGGCACACCCCGCCTGGCACTTCTGCTCCTGGAGCTGGACCTTTCCGAACCCGCACGATTCCGGTCCGCCCGGTCCGCCCGAAACCTTGGGCGGCCGATGAAAGGAGGTGCCTCTGCTTGGGGTGCCGACATGACTACACGAGTCGTGACCCCAACAATGACACCAACAGTGGCCTGTACCTTGAGAAAAAACATGAAAAAACCATTTTGATCTGTTTTCAGCAAGGGACACTCACATTTCCCCGCACCCACCCGCCGAACTCGAGAGATGTCAAGGGTCCACAACCGGCACGGAAAAATCAGCAAAAAGAACTTGTTGGACTTGTTGGACAGGCTCATTCACTCACCCAAAAGGCCCACATCCACCCAAAAGGCCCACCCTCCCTTTGCGTTTGTTGGGCGGTTGCAGCGCCCTTCCCCCCACACGAACAGAGCGAACATAGCTCGGCTTCCTGTCTGCCTACTCCCTGGGGATCCTGGCCGTCATAGCTGCGCCCGCGATAGATCAAAGGAGTCTGGCCAAACTTCCGCATCTGGGCCTGTCAGAGTGGTGGTTGAAGGTGTAGTTCTTCTGAACATCAAGCACTTGGTCTTGCAGTTTCCCGGACTGGAAGCATGGCAATGATCAACGCGACAAGACAAAGCTATTGTAACCAGCGACCAAGAAGCTGACAGGAGATGGCAGCAACAGCAACAACAGCAGCAATAACTGCTACACACACATGCAAGAGCACATATTGATTTGACCGTACTTGACATCATGCACAAAAACCCTACAATCAACATTGATGTGTTGGAATTTTTGTTTGGCACATTTGTTGGCGATAGTTTCTGGAGATCTATGGTTACAGTATATATATATACAAAGATATAGACGCAACCAAAGCCACTGCCATCACACACCAGGAGTCCAAAGTTCACAAGCTTCTGCAGGAAGCTTCCCACCAGAAATTCCATGAGCCTTTCAGAAAAAAAATCACAAGCAGGCACACACCTGAAGTTTATGGAATTTACCTACCCAGTCTACCCTTGAAAACTAATATGTAAGCCCTAATGCTTCCAGCACGACCCTTCAAACCCCCAAGAACTGCCTCGGCAATGGCTCGCTCGTTGGCCTTTTGGAAGGTCAGCGCGTGCACATTTTCCGCCACCTTCCCAGGCCTTGGAAGCGCGTGCGCGGTCTCCGGACCGCTGGGAGCGCTGGGACCGTCTAAGCTCACCACACATAGCCAGTATATCCAGGGAGGCCAGTGACGGTGAAAGCACCAGCCTGATGTGCAGCTGCTACTCCAAGAGCCAAGCAGAAAATGATGTGCAGCAGAGCCAAGCAGCTTATTGATGACCCAAGTGAGGTTTGTTCCAACACAATTCCAGCCTGACACCATGACTTCTGAGTTGTTTTTGTACCCCAAACCATGCCAAAGTCACTTTGTCTGAGGGCAACACCATGAGGAGCATTGGTTCCTTGCTCATTGTATTAATGTGTATAAGTATTGTTGTCTCTGTCTCTGTACGCCGTGGAAACTCTGCTGAACTTTCTCTCTCCACCCTTTCATGCTTGTGATTGACAAGGCTGGGCTGGCAATCATATATATATATATGTATGTATGTTGGTTACTGTATATTAGGGCAACACCTGGAAACTCTGGAGGATGAAGCAAGCTGGAACATCGAGATACGAGCAACATTGAACATGACTGGGCTTAATTTTGCAGGACACTACTACCTACCACATCAATACATGCTTTGAGCGCTCTCTCTCTCTCTCTCTCATGGACCTGCGGCAGGAAGGTACCATCCTGAATAGGCCGAACACAAGACCATGCCACGACCTTGACTAAGATGTTTCCTCCGTTTGATTGGTATTTGCGTGAAACCACATGTTCAATACACCAAACACAAGGCTTCCAAAACCTGTCAACTGTCAACCAGTTGCATGCACATCTTTATCCGCACCGGCATTCTGAGTTCTGTGGCAATCATCTATATACCTGAAACATGCGTTCTATGTTTCTGTTCGCTATTTGGCCAAAAAGACAATTTGGTCCATGGAGCGCTCCATGGGATACGACTCATGACCAAGGAGCTGGTGTGCGGCGTTGCCGGGGAGGAACTCTCATGAGATCCACCTGGAGGAGACGAATGCCAGTAGTCGTATGTGGTCGTCACATTCACTAGTTGGTGAGAGAGCAAAGCCTGCACAAAGAGAGAGAGAGAGAGGGAGAAACACAAAACATAAGGTTCCATGAAAGGCAAGGATTGGCTGAGCTCTGTGTTTATCTTTTTCTCAGGCTCACAAGATGTTACATTCTCTGCAAAACCGCGGAGTCGCCGGCAACGTGAGGTGTCGCCGCAGAATCCCTTGCTAGCTTGACATGTTCGAAAAGCGTGGGCGTTCTCGTGGATCTCCACGCTGATCCACAGAACTGGGGTTCTTCCGAATCTGCAGCAACTCAGCAAGCACCAAATGCCACCCCAAAACGGCCACCCAAAACTGTTTCTGCTAGCAATGCAACATACAGTAATGTAAGACTATAATACACTACAGCATATTAATCTGGCTATGCGATGCTGCGATACCACTGAAACCTTCTAGACAAACTAGCTCTCTCGGTGATTGGACCAAGCTCTCACTGTAGATCAACATGCTCTTTTGCGGACCCAAATGTTTTGTCCAAGGACCCTGAAATCTACCAGCCCATCCGCTTGTCAAACAACAATGAAAGCTCCCAACGCGATATAAACGTATTCAATGGTTGTTTGATGTTGTTAGTGGGGTTCTACCACTCTTGATCTCCACTATAACATCTATCCTCCCTCGAAGATTATCACAGAACAAGCGCATGGCCCTCCAAGAAGACGACTTCTGTACTACCTTTGTCATCCTTTATCTCTTGCACCAACATGGCCGAAACAGTCAATCTCAGGCCGCAGCCCGTTTCACATCGCTCTCGCCTCTCCCATCCATCCGTCCCGTGACCACCGTGACCCCCTCTCCGTCCAACCAAGTCACATTGGAAGCATTCGAAGTGACGCTACAGGTGACACTGATCCGACCTCAACGAAAAGCGCATGGACTAGTGAAGACATCAAGTTATATCCACTTCAAAATAACTCCGACTCACTCAATCAAACAAAGAGCATGGAGGCTGTCTGCTTTCTTTCGGCTTATGGACTTTCCTTGTGGCATGTGAAGGCCAACCATGTTTTTGCATCGCAACAATCAAGGCAAATGGAACATATCATATATCTCTATAGTAGGCAAATGTAGACAACCATGCATGCCCAAAACAGGAAACTGTTGTGCTGCTACACCATGTACATCAAGTCTTTCCGGCTGCACCAATGCTATAGTATGCTATAGTAAAATATCCGGGTCCAGGATATTCACGCGGCTGCGCCAAGAGGTGGTCACCGAGTCCAAGCATCGCACTATGTCGGCTGCCAACACTCTGTCCAGTTCGACCTGCAGAGGGCACGGTGTTCGGCTCCGTTAGCCTCGACTAAGCCTCGACTAGTCGAAGGAGTTTAGACACTGGTGATTCTTGAATTCAAGAGGCGATGCTTCTTTTTGGATGAGGGAACTGATTGAACTTCGGCAACATTCATGAGTCCATGTCCCAAAGAAGAAATACAGTACTCATCAGTACTCTCTTTCTTCACTGCTTGTCTTCCTCCAGAAAAGGCAAGAATAGCAAAGTCTGCTCCTTTCCTCTCTTCCTTCACTGCTCTCTTCCTTCAGTGTCTGTGGCTGTCTGTCTCTGTGTTGCCTACTACCCCCCCTGACAAATCCAGCTGAGAACCCCCACAGGTGCTGGTGCTTTGAGCAGTGCTTGGCCGTTCCATAGCAGGTTCCTATAGCCGGAGGGTCCAGCCGGAGGTCCATTCACCCGATTCACCGGGTCTGGTGACTTATATGGAGGAAGATGAGTCACGATCGCGATGAGGCCTGACTGACGGAAACCATCTTCACCTGACGTAAACCGGATCGAACTGGAACTCTTTCGGGAGAGGGCGACGCCACCGGCGAAGGGTTTTGGAGCGAAGAAGGGCAATAACACCTTCTTCGCTATCTTACACTTTGGAGTTGTCTTACACCATGGATGTTTCTCTTTATCCGACGTGGGTGTCAGTTTCCATGGCAAAGAAGTTGCGAAACACGCCAGCCTGCCAGCTGGCGTAGCGAGTGACGCCAGCAGTCACTCGGGAACCGTCTTTCCAGTCCACCACATCTTCTGTGTGATACTCAACAGCCCAAGGGCACCTATGAAGTCAACAAGTTCTCCTTTGTGCTTGAAACAGAACCACCAGAACTTCAAAGGAGTTGTGAGCAAAACGCCGGTGAACGAACATGTTTGCACATCATCTCGTCCGCTGACTCACGGCGGGGGTGAGAGAGCAAAGCAGGAAAGTTCGGCAAAGTAAGATAGCCCGTGAAGTGGTTTGAACTCTCCAGAGTGGGTATGGCACAAACATACTGTTTCCATATGTTTCCATTTTCCACGACGCCGCACCTTCGTGTATGGGCTCAGGCCGATGAAGGAAAATATCGAATAGTCGTCAAGGTCAAGATCCAACACAAAATGAAGCTCGATCTGGATAGAAAGCTTGTGACTCCGCACTTTCTTCTTTGCTTGTGCTGCGCTCAAATCTACAAGGCACTGCGAAAAAAGCTGATTGGTCCAGACGGCAGCAAACAAGCGGTGGACTCTATATAGTGGGGCATTTTTGCATGTTAATCCGTGGATGAGCACCATGTGCTCACCCCTGGCGTGGAAGTCTGAAGATCGGCGATTGCACACGCAAAGCTGAGTATAACATGCAAACGCTTACACATGACCAGCGCACGTCTGACAGCTCGAGCAGAAATGATTTTCAAAGCTAACAGCAGGCATCGGACATCTGGGCCCTGAAAATAGGCTGCGAGATGCTTGAAAAAATACCTCGCGCCACCATGTTGCGACCTTGGGTCGCCAAAGAAAGGTCTTGCCGGCATAACGCGACAACAAATCCTGGCATGACCGGTTGATGTGAGAACACAGAAGATCACTGAAGTGTAGTATTGGTTCTTCAAATTGGCCGAGTTGCTATCCACAGAACTTCACTCGATCATTTACATTCCATTCCTTCACGGGCTCGGAGGCTACTACCCTAGTCAAGGAATCAACAACCAATTGAGGTCTGCCGGGACAGACTGTTAAAACAGCATGATGGACCCTCTGAAAATCCAGCAGTGGACTGGAGAATGATAATTCTTGCACTCCAGTCAGGCTGGCAGCACGGCAGCATAAATCAAACACGTGTTGTTCAGTCCTTTGAGGACATGAGACGAGCTCTACGTCCGGGACGTCTGGTTCCACCATTGTCAGGCACCGCAGCTTATTGAGCAAACGTCCCCTACTCGTAGCAAAAGTCTTTGCTTAAATGCACAAAAACAGGCATGTTCCAGTGCGGAGCCTGACCTTGGCTGCCAAAAAAGCAGCAAACCAAAGGGACCTTCAAACGTGGCTCTGAAAAATATCCGGCAGTGATCGGCAGTGTAACCGCTAGGAATGTTTCGAGCGACTTGCCAGCTGAACAAATGTCATTTCTGGCGAACACGGCAAAACGCAGCTCTCCGTGGTTCCGTATCTTCAGTCGGTGCATCAGCAGTCGGTGTATCTTCAGGAATCTGGGGACGAAATCATCGAATCATACACATTCATCAACAAAGCCAATGGCCTCAAACAATAAAAACAAGATCGACTGGTCTCTAAAAAACCAAGCTCGACTTGCACGTGATCGACTGGGGGCCCCTCTTCACACAGAGCGACTCCTGCCCTCTCAGAGCGACTCCCGCGGTCTCCTTCGACAGCAAAGCCTGCCAGGCTTCACCGCTGGATTCGGGGTGCGTTTGGAGGCCTCGCCCCACGGCCTCCCGACGATCCATGTAAACATGTGGTACAAATATATGCCTGGCCTAGATATTCGGCAGTTTTGGGAAGGTGAATGTATACGTTATATGTTGTTCCGGCGTTGTGTGCGTCATTGTCTGCAAGTCATAATTCACTTGTACATGGATTGCTCTTCCCTACAGGTTCTAGCCTCACCCCGACACTGTGGGACGAAGTCATCGACCCCAACGACCTCGTTTCGGCCTTGTTTCGCCGACTGGTCCTTTTTGGAGGGAATCCAACATGAGTGCAACTCTGTTCCTTTTGGATTCATTCATATCATGAATCCGATGAAATACTGCTGGGCATAGAGTGGAATTGGACAGGACCTTCGGAGGCCCTCTGACCATCTCCTACCTTTGAAAGGTTTTGAAGAGACGCGATGATCCCTAGGACCTAGGTGGGCAGGAAGTGGATCGGCCTTTGGGCATGTGGGTCGATGTCCTCCTGCATCCTCATGTCCCTTAAATTAATGAATCATTTACCAGGAACATTGACCATGGATTGGCATCTAAGGTCTTCACCTACAACCACAGTAAGACAACCAGTTTTCCTTGGAATCTCCTTCTTGTCCCACTTGTGAACACTCAGGATCGATTTGGGCCATCGTCATGTGAGGCAGAACAATGGACCGACTGGCCTAGAAGAAAAACACGTGACCGCATGGGAACATGGCCAACAACAATGGTCTTAACCTCTACCGGTCCTCCTTGGCTCCTTAGCTCCAAGGGGATCCAATGGAGACCCCTGGCTCATCAAGAAAGAAAGCACCAACACCTTTATTCCTTCTGGGTATATATGTCCAATAGATACATATACTGTATATATCAATATCAATCTGATATCATTGAATCGTATTTATCTACTTTTGACGTCCAATTATACCGCCGCCATCCTCCATCCCAAGGAATTATGGCCCCAAACCAAGCGGCGCTGCTCCGCGCCTCCAGCGCCTGGGCGGCTTCCAGCCCAATAAATCGCCCACCTCGGAGGACAGAAAACGCTGGGCCGTCTGGGCCATGGGAATTTGCTTTTTGCACCTGTGGCCCATCAAACTGCAGTTTCAAACCTTGTTTGGTTAGGTTCATTCTAAGAATTGTAGGGTCAAAGGTGCATGGGGTTGGGTCATTTTGGGTGGCAGGGCAGATCTTCAACCAGCTTCAAATACTAAAAGAGTGGGTGTTCGAAGTACTTCGTCACCTACAAGGACCCAAACCATGGAGCTGTAGGTCTAGGAAAACAACAGTCTGGACTTCCAGGTGGTTGCTGATGAGATATATATCGCTCAATTGAGAGAACCCATTCGTGAGTGCTCTGCCGCTCTGCCCAGCACTGTTGGCCTGTCATGGTCCGTGCACTGTACCATCCCGTCAACAAACCATATCTTAGTTTGATGGAAGAGATTAGACTTGCCTAGAACCACACATCCATGATTGATGGTACAGAAATTAACCGAATGGAATTGCATGACAAACGCTTGGGATCTGATGGATCATGGTGAACCATTGTGGACAATGACTCTTGGACTAGGATGTGAAAGATTGAACGGCATGCTTGAAAGCAACGGGTTGGTGGTTTCAGCTCACTTGAAAAATATTAGTGAGTGGGTTCAATCATCCCGAGTACAGTATACTCGCAAGTATATAAAGGTCGAAAGTAAACGTATTTATATAAAACCACCATACACCCCCCCAAAAATGGTCCGGTTTCCCCATAGTCTGAGCTTCCCTGACAAAGTATTTAGGAGCTCTGCGGACAGCGTTCCCTGCTGCATTGTGCCAACCTGGGTGTCGTAGGCAAAGGATGTCGGTTTCCTTCACTGTTACTATCAACTGCCAGCTTCTGAAGAGACATTCAAGATTCCACAGCAATGCAATGCCAATGCCATACTCCAAAGAACATTGCAGCAGTTCTACTTCATGGTCAGGTCCATGGTCTATGGAGCTTCGCGACCACGTTCCGTTCCCATATATAAATTATATATATATAATTACCACCAAAAACACCCAACGATACCCAACGATACCCACGGACCTGCAAAACCAAACACCGAGTCCCAAACTGGAACTAACCAATCGCCACGGTCTCCATATCTGTAACGACCTCCATGGAGCTGGACGACCGACTTCTGGGTCGCCCAAACGAACAAAGCGATCGCCCGCATCGGATCCGCTCCTCGGGTCGCGTGGCGAACGAGCGCAGGGTGCTTTACCCGAGGAAGAAGGCATGGAGAAAGGCGACCACGGTGGGGTGGACACCGGGAAAACCGAGTGGGTGAAGCGTGTGGGGGGTGTATGGTCACTAGTATGAAACATCTGGGAGCATGAAGTGGGTTATAGATGTGGAACTTCTGCCAGAAGTTTGAAGGCCACAAAAATTGGAACTGGATTAATGACAGGATATTGAGCCCACAAATCTGGACAGTTACAATGTCGCGGCAGCAACGTGACATGCTTGATGACACTTTCAGGTGGAATCGATCCCGGACTTGGGGACAGTTTCAGATTCGATGCACGGTTGCGCTGGAACAGTTTCAGCTTCCGGTTGCGGAGGGATGACGTATTTCAACAAAATACACCATTGTCTAAATATGTCTAAGTTTGAGTCAAGCAATTGCAGCTATACATGACCACGCATCAAATATACATATTTTTGCAAACAGAAAGCAACAGAAAACAAAAGCAACTGAAAATGCAAAAGCAAAGCAATTTGCTTTGTCGTTGCCTTATTTTGCTCGTTGTTTGCATTTCTTCTGGTACCATTTCTGCACTGATGAGAACTTTTGCCCGTCAGCCATATTCGCTGCACGCTCCTAGGAAAATCAACATGTGAAAGCGACACAACTGTGAAAAAAATATGAAAACTACAACAATAGAAAACATGCAAAACTGCATTTGTTGTTGCTTTACCTTTAAATTGTTTGCTTTGTTTTTGCTTTAACTATCTTTAAATATCTTTAAGATTTTAAGCATGTGTTTTGGCTCCTTGTTTCTATGGCTGCCGCGCCTGTCTCAAGTCGAAATCCCTTGCTTGGTCCTAGTTGGCTTTATATAACCCACCTCATGCGGTGCTTTTCCATCGCTCATTGTCCTTGCTAATCCTTCACATTGCAAATTGCACATGAAGAAACTGACAGCCTTTGGTGTGACCTCTTAATTACAGCTGGTCTTCCTCCAGATCTTGTGACCCTCTTGCTGGGATGACTTGAATGACTTGCGTAGAAACTTGTAACAACTGGCCCATTCCTCAAGAAGAATAAGTAAATCTTCACTCTGAGCTTCCAACAGTTCAAGCTGCCGCAGCAGAATCGCTGTTCCGCCCGGGTGCTTCGCCTGTCACTTCATGTTCCTCTGTGAGCTCTGTGAGCCCACCTGATAAAGAGTGCGCATACCGTGCTCAAACAGCAAAGAGAACAGAATACCCAAGGAGGTTTGAGGCGTCGCGAACGTGCCCAACCAACAGCTCTGTGGCCTCCCACGGAAGGAGTCAACCGAAGTATGGTTATATATGCAGTCTCAGGCTATAGCGACTATACTTGTCATGATAGTCATGGTCAACTCCAACAGGATGTGGCAGGACGGAGTTGATTTGCATGACCATATTGGCCACCTACCGAGTCTCAGGCTAACAAAATACCCAGCCTCCTCGCGG